GAGGGGGGGGGGGGGGAAGTGGGGGAAGAGACCAAAGTTGTTGAGCAAAAAAGAAAAAGGACTCCAAGATTTATTAAGCCAAAAAAAAAAAAATAAAAAAAAAAATTAAGACTGAATGCAGGGATAGGAACAGGGAGCGGTTGAGCACTAAGACCGCGGGGAGGCAGTGCTTCCCCTTGGTCTTTTGCTGGCAGCCATTTTGTGCTGGCAACTTTGTGGAACCAATAAGCATGGGGGAAGGGGGGAGGCCAGGCGCTGAGTGTTGATAGGGTTGCCAGGTGCCCGGCATTTTTGCCTCCTGGCCAGGAAAAGAACAACAGAAAATACCGGACATCTTAGGTGTCCAGTATTTTCTGAATTTTTTTTACCAGACAGGAGGTGAAAATACCAGACTGTCCAGCTGAATACCAGACACCTGGTAATCCTATGCTCAAGACCTACCCTGTTGCACTACAGTACTGAGCTAGAGGCAGCGTGGGGCCCGCCGCCCCCCTGCTCGCTCTCATTGGAGGCAGTCCAAGGCCTGGACAGCTGCTTCCAGGCGCAGCTGCTGCGGAGCCCCGAGGCAGTGAAGTCAGGGCAGGAGCGAAAGGCTGGGCTCATCCCGCTGCGGAGTGAGTGGGGTGGGGGAGGAGGGAGAGACCACAAGATTTGTTGCGTGCGGAAAGAAGCCCTCCACTTCCCGGGCTGGGGGAACATCAGCGTGCTGTCTGGAGCCTTTCCCTGCACTCCCATTGGCCAGAATCGGGCTAATGGGAGCAGTGGGAAGCTACGCCTGGTACCAGCACGGGGCCGTAAGACAAGTCCCTTACTTGCCTCTCGCTGAGACCCTGCCCCTTCTCTGCTGGCCAGACAACCTGTCCCCAGCCCACTTCTGCCCCCCTTTCTCTTGGCCAGACACCTACCCCCACCCTGCTCCTGCCCTGTACCTCTAGCCCACTCACCTTTCCATGGAGACCCCACCACCCCAGCCTGCTACTGACCCCCCTCCTGGCCCTGCCCCTAGCATGCTCGTGCACCCTACCTCCTACCCAGACCTCGCACTCCCAGCCCCTCCTGCATCCTAGCCCTATCCCACTCATTGGCAGCCCTGTCTCACACATTAAACCCCTCATTTTGGCCTCATCCCAGAGCCAAAGGGGCCCACAAAATCCACTAACCCTTGAATCCCAGAAGAATTAATCTGGTGTGAGGCCTTGAACTTCAGTCCTCCCCACCACCACCCCATATGGCTGGAGCACCAGGGGAGGGAGGTGTGTGAGGTGGGGGCCACATCAGTGAGGGTTGGGCTTTTTTGGAGGGGCTTTTTTTTTCCCCTTCTCACTTGTGTGGTCCCCAACTGATTTTTCTGTGGATCAGTGGCCCCAAAGGCCATTAATAAAGACAATGTTGAAACCTTTTTGGGTTGGACATGATATTTTACTTTTATTTAAAATGAAGCCTGGCCCACAAGGCCTCAGTTGGGGCCCAGCCTGCTCTGGTTTGAGCGTCCTGTCCCCAGTCCTGACCCAGCCACAGAGAGGCAAGCTCCCTTCCTGCTACAGCATGGGTAGGAGGCGAGGCCATAATCTGGCTTCTGTGGACAGAGTGGGGGGTTAATGAAAGTAGTGAGCAGGGAGCGCAGCCCCCTAGTAAACATCTGAAATACTTGTTCCTTAAGGTTTTTTGTAAAAACTAGAAACCTTTGAATCTGTCCTGTTATGGTAAAAACAATCTTTCTCATAGTAATTTGCAGTCATTGTCTTAATTTTCTAAAAAGCAACATGTACTAGCTATTTATATATAAAGAGTATAATATGCAAATATATTGACAAGATGTTCAGTCCGAATAATTGTTAAATATAACTGCAAGCTTAAATTACCATAACCACATTCTTGCCCAGGTGTTTCTGTTCTCTCTCTACTGTGCAAATCGTTTACTAGTAAATCTGACAAACATTTTATGCTCCTTTTGATTTCACTACTCTCTTCCTCTCTGTATAATATAAAATATGTTCATATACATGGAAAATTAAATTCCATGTACAAATGGCAGACTTTCTAAACCTTGTTTCACAGCGTTTTGCAGAATTTTGACTGACACAATTTAGTCTGTCCTTTGTTTTCTCTAGCTCCGGAGTACTGGTGTTCAATTGCTTACTTTGAAATGGATGTGCAGGTTGGGGAGACATTTAAAGTCCCTTCAAGCTGTCCAGTTGTTACTGTTGATGGATATGTGGACCCTTCTGGAGGAGACCGCTTTTGCCTGGGCCAGCTTTCTAATGTACACAGAACAGAAGCCATTGAAAGAGCAAGGTATTTTGCACATCTTCTGGAACACCAGACTGTAATTGTATTTTGTATTTATTGTTCAAGCATTGGTGTTCTACCTTTCCTTTGAAAGTATAAGTGCTGTTATGCACATTCTAATTAACATGGTATTGCAGCATGGGTCGTCTTGGGCCTTTGGGTTCTCACTTCAGGTGTGTTCATCCATCTGAGAAATGCATCAGTGGTCAAGAAGCATGCCCCTTGATGTGTCATATTGCATTTGTGTTGGTTTATATAATTGTGTTTCAAAGTTGTCATAAGTTTAAGAATAGTTTGAGCCCTTGTACTTGGGGAAGGAATAATTAATCTTGAGAGAAAGGACAGAGATGAGGCTAAGTTAAGCACACAGGCTCTTTAGAGTGTCATTAGCAAATTGAAAAATGATACTTGTCTTTCATTCTCACCACACACTTAAGTTTTGGTGAAGGAGCAGAAAAAGGATTTCAGGAACTCTTGCTAGTGATAATCTCCTTTCCCTGTGAACAAACAGGAGTACAACATGACTAAAATAATTCCAAGTGTTTATAGTTAGTTATCTTAAAATATGATGCGTTATTATGACATTATCAGAGGTCATGTTGCTGTTTTGGAACATTGCTCTTAAAGATATGTACAATGCTATCCTCTGATTCAGTTCAGACTGTACACTTGGGTAACTTTAGAAAAGCTCTGTGTAGCTTGAAAGGTGGTCTCTTTCACTAGCAGAAGTTAGGTCAATAAAAGATTTTACCTCTCATCTTCTAGAACCAGTATGGCTCCAATTATACTGCAAACAATTTAAGACACTTCTCAGTGTGAATTCTTATTGTACTGAAATGGGAGGCCCAAGTGTTGTATTTGCTTAGATACAGTTTTGGAATGCAGAATCTGCCTACAAAAGTGGCGAGGAGTCCTGTGGCACCTTATAGTCTAACTGAAGTGTTGGAGCATAAGCTTTCGTGGGCAAAGACCCACTTCATCAGATGCATGTAGTGGGTCTTTGCCCACAAAAGCTTATGCTCCAACACTTCAGTTAGTCTATAAGGTGCCACAGGACTCCTCGCCACTTTTGCAGATTCAGACTAACACGGCTACCCCTCTGATACAATCTGCCTACAGTTACTTTAAATGTTCCTACATTACTTGTCCAGTCTGCTACTACCTTAAAGTTACATGTTCAATGCAGAATATTTTGTGTACAACATGGATGTGATACACCTTCATGTTGTATTGCATAGCTTGCAGCGAACTGCTGTTAAGATTTCAACAATCCTAACTTTTTGAAAAACAGTTAATTTATTCACCTTCTAGGTAAACCATATTACAGCCTAGAATTTAGATTATGCTTTGTTCATTTAGCAGGGTTCTAATGTATAGCTTCTGAACATAATAACATTGGACTTTCCCTTTTTTAAGGTTGCACATAGGTAAAGGGGTGCAGTTGGAATGTAAAGGTGAAGGTGATGTGTGGGTTAGGTGCCTCAGTGACCACGCAGTCTTTGTTCAGAGCTACTACTTGGACAGAGAAGCAGGGCGTGCACCAGGAGATGCGGTTCACAAGATTTACCCAAGTGCATATATAAAGGTTGGTTTGAATATTCTGGATGACAATTGTAGGAAATAACAAATGAATTTGCTCCTTGTCAGTGGCAAAGAAATTTGTTTTATTAAGTGCTGAAAGAAATTTAACCCACATAACCTACATCATTTTTTCGCACTAAAACAAAAACTATTTTAGTTTCTATTAGGCTAACTACTGCCAAATGAAGTTTTGTTTATTTTATTGTTGATGAATGAATGGCTTTTAAAATTGGCAGTGTTTATTTAGATGTTGTGGAAACACAGTGATTTCATAAATCTGTTACAAGCAATCTTAGCAGTGGTTTTGCATTTAACAATGATTTTTTTTAAACCAGTCATTACAAAAAGTTGGTTACTTAAGCTTTATAATATGGTTCAGTTATTTTTCTCATTTTGGGAAAAAAAATCTTTAAAAAACAGCTAATTTTTTAAAAAGCATCAGCATGCCAATATTGAACCAGTGACTCCATCCTGAGTCATATTTTTCTTTAAGATTTCAGATTTAATCTACATTAAAATAATCAGTGACTTTACATATATCTCAGGGTAAAATGAGGCTTAAAACCCAACTACGTTGCTGGGCAACATGCCTAGGACACCGAAATTCTTTCACTCACCGTAGAATCCCCCAGTCTGAGAGCAGATTTCTTGTGTATTTCAATACCCTATCTCCGCATAAAGAAGCAATATGCTCGCAAATTGAAACCTAACTGTTTTAATTTGAGGCCTACCAGCTGTCGGCGTTCTGTGTAAGAAGAGTACCATATTTGAGGAAGGCTGTGACAAAAGTAGACAAGGACTCTCAAGTTTAGGAGGACACCTCTTTAATTTTTCATGTATATGCTTCACTTCTTGAAATATTAAGGATTAAGATATGACCTTCTCTTGGCTTTCGTTAGTTTGTTAAAATCTTAGGCCTTCGTTCTGCAATTTGATCTGCACAGGTAGCCCTTCAACCCACTCAGATTCCATCAGAGCCTCAATGTGTTTGGCTTTTTACTTAGCTACTAGTGCTCAAATCTTAGGGTGTGTCTAGACTACAGAGTTTTGTCGACAAAAGTGGACTTTTGTCGACAAAACTATACCTGCGTCTACACTACCGCTGAGTTCTGTCGACATAACGTCAACAGAACTCAGCAGTTTTGTCGACGCTGGTAAACCTCATTTTATGAGGCATAACGCCTTTTGTCGACAGAGTTCTGTCGACAGAAGGTGTTGTTGCATCTAGGGTTGTGTCTAGACTACAGAGTTTTGTCGACAAAGCAGCTTGCTTTGTCGACAGAACTGAATGTAGTCTAGACGCTCTTTGTCGACAGAAGCTTTGTCGACAGTATCTGTCTACAACTTCTGTTGACAAAAGCCTGTAGTCTAGACGTACCCTTAGAGTCTGTAGAACCAATGGATATAGACTTTTGACCCTATATCTTTGAGAAATAAAAATTCAGTTGGTACAAGCTTGTGTCTAGGGAAGCTAATTTTATAGGCGTTTTAAATCTCTTATATGTAACAGCAATAATAGCATTGATTCTTTTA